AATTGTCTAATTTATGTTACCAGCAAGCTAGGTAATAAGGCTATCAAAATCTACTAAGTATTCTATCTTCAAGCTTAGTTCAGTTACTAAATTTGCTCAGGACTATTACAATAATTTGAATTTCAGTGAAACAGCACCTTTCTTAATATATTCATGGTTTTGCACATTTTAATGAATAAAAAAAAGTTGTTAAATAGTGATAGTATCCTGTCCAGAATATGGGACATCTTCAACTTCATCTTTGAGTATTGCTTATCCTGTAAAATTCTTTAACATCAAGCAAGGTCCAGACATAGCTGTTACATTCCATCATTACAGGTTAGATCTTACTGTTCAAATAGTTCAATTCTACCATGGTGCTATTTTGATGAAATGCCATTCAACAGAAAACATGATTAATATGAGAAAGAGAAAACAGAAGTGAAAGAGAAGAAAAAAATAATCAGTTTTTATGCCAAAGCCTGTGAGATGTTATTTCTTTGAGTCTTTCAAGTTCCTTCAGAGAAAAAGATGGTTTCCTCTGTCTTCTATAGCATGGGACTGTTTTCATGTCTTATACAGAATTTCAAGATTTGTTTATTATTCTCAGCTTTCCACCATGACAAAGGAAACATCTTTTTTCCCCAGTCAAAAGTAGGGGCAAAGATACTGGGCACAGCCCTTACCTGTGGTCATGTTTCTGAAACGGCTGCTGGGCAGCAGCAATGGCAGTGTCCGTGCTCTGCCCAACCGGGACCAACGGCTTGAACCTGAGGATTTCAGTCCCAGAGCATTTTGTGCGTTAGCATCTAGCTCCATGTTAGCCTCACTGCTGACAAGGGTTGTCACAAATACTGAAGCATAGTAAATAAGCAGCCACAGAAGAAGATGCTTCAGCATCTGTGTGAATATTACTTAAGGTGGATCTCCCCTCATGGCCAGGGACAACACCAGGTTGGACAGGGCTTTGGGCAACCTGATCTAGTGAAAGGTGGCTCTGCTGATGGCAGGGGGTTGGAACTGGACGATCTTTAAGGTCCCTTCCTACCCAAACCATTCTGTGATTCTGTGATTCTATAACTACTCTTATTCTTCAGAAAATTCCATTGTAGAGGGAAAACCATGAAAAGGAAGAAATCACTTATGCAGAAACCTTGCATTTTGGGCCCTGAACAAAAATACTTTGATACAGCAAACTTCGAAATACGAAATTTAACAGATTTATGCTCCTTGAATAACTTCATCTGAAAGAATCAAGCTAATTTCAGTCATTCAGAGATTAATTTTTCTCTATTTGTGGCCACCTGCTCAACTTGCTATCTTTCAATGTGTTGTTTTTTCATCTGGATGTTGGTGAATGACTCATTTCTGTTTGATGTATTTATTTTGCATCTCATATCTTCTGAAAACATGTTTAATGGAAATTGTGTACAATGCTTCAGTTCTGTGGCGTTTGTTTCCTTTTTTTGGGGGGGTGGGTTTGTTGTTTTTTTTTAAGTGCAGCTCAAGCCACAAATGATACATTCTTGAAGATGGAAAAAAAAAAAGACCACAGGAATGGCAAATGCTGTCACATGAAAACTAGACATTTTGCACTGTCAGATGGGACTGTGCAGAGTACCAACCAGGAAACAATTTAAGGATACTTACCTAAAACTATCCATCTGTGATTAAGCTGGTGGAAGACTGGCTGAGAGAATGAGTCACATTATTCCATGGCATGCTTGACAAAACACATCTGTGTTGTGGGACTATGGATGAGAAACATCTTGTGTTCTACTACAGCAGCATTCACTGAACTGCACTCGGGTCCCAGGGAGGAAGATGGGAATAGTAAAGCACATGCTGCACTCAGCACAACCAGGAAGTAGGAGATGTTACTGTATAAATACCTGGCTATATGGCCAGCTTCTCCAAACCAGACAGTGGCTTTTGGTTACTGAACTGGAGCTATCTTAGCAGGTTCTTGATTTTTGAATGTGTAGGAGTTTTCTCTGAAGACTGAGGCCTCTTTATTGGACCTTGAATCAGAGACACTTAAATACTAGCCAAACTGAAACACCTGACCCTAGGGGACTAATACTACATAGCCCATTTTGAAACTCTTTGCCTCACCATTTTACTGCTTTATAGTTACAGCTGTCAGATGGATTTTCTCTGAAAAACTTTAAATACACAAGAAACATATTTAGGCATTAAGCTTTTTCTCACTGGCATTCCTCTTCACCCTCAGTTTTCATTTCTAGTGCCTTCTCAGCTTTTACATTCTTTAAGTCACATGGAGGGGTTTTAACACTCAAAGCAGCCCTCCATGCTCAGATTCAAGTAAAGATGTGAAAGAAGTTATACTGACAAGTTAACAATACATACCCATTTACTGGCTTTTATTGTTCAGGAGGCACTGAAGAAATCCTGACATTTACACACCCGAAGAGTTTAAGTACCAATTGGTAATGTGACCATTTGCAAGCTGTTTCTTTATCAAGAGGATTATCAGTCATGATTTATGGACAGGTGATGAGTAAGAAACTTACGCAATTCTTTGTAACTGCATAAGGTGCTGGGATGAGAAGAGTTTAGAACCTTCATGTCACTTTGGAGTGATGCCAGGAGGGCTTATTGTACAAACTTATTTAACTTATCTTTGTGGAGTCAAAACGAAACCCCAAGATAAAGTCCTGGGATCCAAATTAAAACGTACATCATCCTTCCAGGCACACTTTCATCAGGTCAGCTTTTTTTCTGGGTGGCGATTCACCAAACCCTCTGTGTAGGATTCACTGCACTACATAAACATTAAACTCCTCCTTAGCTACTGGAAATTGGCAGTCCCAACATGCCTTATGGTAACAATTTTCTTGGAAGCAGCAGTTTCTTAGGGCACAGTTGGAACTGCATTTGAAATACTTCTGTCTCTCCCAGTGTCAGTCTTTATGAACATGCCTAAATAAGCATAACCTTGTTCAATCATCATTCATGTCTTCTATCCCAGCAGGAAGAATTCCTGGAAATATTTTAGGACTCTATAGCATGGAAGCTGCTTCTGAGTTTGCCTAGTTCTTAGAGGTTATTACTAACATGCAATGTTTCCCAAGAAGTAACAGCATTTTAATTCTGTGGGTTTGCAAGTGTTTTGGTGAAGGCAATAAGCCAAGAGAGATTCCAGCACACAGCAATGCTAATACATCTTAGTAAGCGCTGTGCTAAAGGCTTCTAGAAAGCTCTTAGTTGTATCACTCATTGTGTAAGTTCCAGTCTAAGAATACCAGGAAACCTAACTATTGAAACACAGTCACAAATGTTCAAGAATGCTAAGCAATTGGCAGCCAGATCCTTTGCAAGCCACTTCCTTATCTAGAGGATTACCAGGAGCTATAAAGACTAGTTATGTTTTTTTTGAAACATATTGCTCTCTAGAAGCTGATCTTTTAAACAGTTTATACCATGTGTTCACAGCCACTCTTAATAGGTTCAGAATTATGTAGGAGAGACAAAAGCTACATGAAATTATGAGAAGCTAGATCTGTTTCTCTTTATAGCAAGGCAATCCACCTTAATGTAACCTTCATCAGCAGGA